TTAAGAGCTCATTGGAGTTGTCAGGAAGTTGAGGATTTGATTTAAAATATGTTTCAGGGAGCTTATCAAACTTGTAATAAAAGCGAAGAATGCGGAGTGTTTGAATGAGATAGGACTTGTCAGTAATTGGGAGGTTGCATAGGAGTTTAATTTTAACTTGGGATGGAATATCCTTTGGGTTTTATGGGAGATCAGAAAGAATTTCATCAAAGTATTTGTTAAGGGCTTCTTTGAGAGATGTGTATTTGACAAAGAAAAGTAGTTTTCTGATAAAATAATTAATAAGATAAGAGAGAATACTAGCTAGCTCATAAAAGGGAAGGTTCTCAATATCAATGGTTCTGAGAAAAATAATAAAAAGAATAATACAAATTATGACACAAATTTTTTTCCTGGTTTTAAAATTAATAAAAGAGAGATTGTGTTTATTTTTATATTTTTTTTGGAAGTCTTTCTCAATATTAATGAATTCTTTTTGCTGAGAGGACATTATGTGCTCTTTGTTTGTGAAGGTACTGAAGAATGTATGGTCCTTGTGTTTGAGTTTGCTAATGATTGCTTGAAAGAAGTGTGGAGGGTATTTGGATGCCTTACGGATTTCATTAATTGTTTCAATAATAGTATTAATATTATTGAGAGCTGCTAATAATTTTTTGGCTAGTTGTTTGATGCTTTCTCTGAGAATTTCATGTTGTTTAATATCTCTAATTTGTTGGAGTTCCTCTTGGATTTGGTTATTGAAAGATGGTGATCAGGAGGTGGTTTGGTTAGAAGGATTTGAAAAAGATAAATTTTTTGAATTAGTGGGCTGGGGAGGAGACTTAGAGAGTTCGTCAAGATCGACAATGTCATCCACTATCATAATACTTGATTGGTTGGTTGGATAGATGGTACTGATTTTCATATTGAGACTAGAAAGAGAGTTTATAGGTTAGAAGGTAGTACTGAGATACTTGTTAAGTTGTTATTTTTAGGATTTGGTGGATAGAGGTCAGAGAGTTTCATTGGTTCATCAGATGTTTCACTAATTTCTATGGGGTTTCCAATTTGGGAAGAAGAAGAAGTGATAGACAGGGAGTTTGCATGTGTATACATTGTGACTGTTTGATCAACATTTCTTTTTTGGAGAACAGGAGAAGTGATAGGCAGACAATTATTTTCAGGGTAAGCCGACTAGAGTTTTTTGCAATTTCTTGGAAGAGAGAAAAAAATTCTTGAAGATGGTTATAGAGTTCAGTGTTGAGTTGGATTTTTTCCATTTTTTTCACTAGGTTACTAATATATTGGAAGTTAAGAGGGGTGTTTCTGGTGTTGAAGATTGAGATACGAATTTGAGGAAGTTTCCTTGATCTTTTTTTTTGAACATTTTCATTGTAAAGTTAAGAATATGGATATCATTTGTAGTGCCTGCTTTGACGATTTTCTCAATGTTTTTTCCTTCTTTTATAATAAGAAATTAATTAGGGAAGTTTGTAAGGTTGGTAATGAGGAGAGATCTTGCAAATTCTGTTCTGTTAATTGTATTATTATTAAGGTTGAAATAGTATATTTGGAAAAGTTGGTTTCAATCCTGATGGATAGTAGTATGTAGAAATTGTTTTTTGTTACTGTTTGTTGTAGGATGCTCCATGTTGGAAGTTAGTTAGTGGTTGAGTGTACTTGAGAGTGCTGGGAGAAAAGTGTTTCTTGGAAGACTATTACCAAATAAGAAAATTTTCAAGTAAAAAATTGATTGACAGGAAGAGTTTTTTTTTTTTTTTTTTAATTATTGATTATTTTTTCAATCAAATATATAACATAATATAACTTATCATAAATATAGCCAAAGTCAAATTTAGAGATCAAGAAGTCAACTGCTGTCTCGAACCAGAATTTTTTGGGCTAGCTATGTGTAGTGATAAAGTTCTCAAGCATATTGATAAAAAAATCACTAGACAAATAAGTTCTGAAGATAAAAATAGTAGATTTTTCAGGAAAATGACTATACATCCAATTGGATGAACCATAATTCAGCTTACTTTTACTTCAAGTGCAGAATGTAGTTGATTTAACAAATAAGATATATCTATTACAATTCCAACCTAGGTATTAATCGTAAAACATCATCCTGAATTTTCCAATTATATCAAGTTAAGGTTTGATTGATTCACCAGTTAAAAATATGATGATGAAGGGCTCCAGACATATAGAGCAGAAATTGTAACTGATGCAGCGGATGATTGGATAAGAACAACTCTTTATATCAAAAATCTTATCGAAAGGAAAATCCATAATAGTACCTGTGTATAAATTTAATAGAAGCAAAGCTTTATTGCTATACAATAATCAGTCGGGTTCTTTTGATTCTTGCTTACAGCAAAATAAAAGCAAGAAAAATAAGGTTAAGTATTCTATCATAGAATCAGAATCAGATACTAACTCTGAAACTTCTGATTTGAATATTTCTTCGTTTAGTTTGGGATCAAAAGATACACATGTATATAAGAGTGTGTGATATCAAAAAGTAAAAAAAAAATCAATTAATACCATATTGCATCATAACTGTGAAATCACATCATGTTATAATGGCCCTAGGAAATGATATTATGTGTTTTATTTCATAAAAAAAAAGTTGCCAAATGGCATACAAATAAAAAAAATATGTTTTAGAAAAGATAAATTAATTATACGCTTGATCCAATATATCATTCCATTGATCAGGATTTGACCAAAAATTATTATCATTCTTCTTATCATGTTTTAAATTATCTTTTGATATTTTTTTCCAGGTCTGCTTATCTAATTTTTATTTAAGACATAATCCTGTTAGCTACCATGTATGTCTTCAGTAATTATATTTCAACATGGTGAAAATAAATAAAATGCTTTATAGAGTATTTATAACATAAAACTTACAAGATAAAGATTGTTTTGACTTGCTTTGTTGTCTAGTTCTTGGTGTGGAAAACAATAGGTTACTAGAATAATTGTTTTTAAAGACATTATTATCATTGATTTTGGAAGCAGAAGAATCTTTAGTTTTGATGGTGGTTTTCTTATTACTGCTCATTTTTATGTTCCTAAATATAGAATAATAGTAATTATAAATATATTTTATGATATTAATTAAACAGCAATACATTAAATAGTAATACATTACTTTAAATTAGTGTTATAAAACATTATTGGTATCTATTTTACAAGAGAAAAAAATAAAATATTTTTATACCATCCAGGATCATTAAATTTATTCCAAAACCAAATATTTTCATCATTTTTTTGGTTAACCACTTAATGTAACTGTCTTCAGTAAAACACAATCTTACTGACAAAGTAAAAAAGTTAAGGATCATGATGATCTGGAAATTTCAAATTCCTATAACATATGATTCTCGATAAAACTACTAATGAGAAATGATAAGCCCATTTCCCTTATGGCTCTTTTAACTTATTGTGATTTTTTTATTGGAAAACAGATTATAAAAAATAACATGTTTGTATTTATTTTGATAAAAATAAATGTATATAGCATAATTAAAAACTGAAAAAATTATTAACCAATTACATAATATTAGGATCGACACTAGAAATTCATGAAACATGTGCAATTACATCAATGTACCATATTATTTTTTATCTTTTATAGATTAAGAAAATGTTTCTATATTATATATATTTTGTAATAAGAATATGTGAAAACAAATTTCGAAAAGGCAATAAAGATGAATAGCTCGTTGTTTCTTATCAGAAAATGTTAGTTATGCGGCTTTGGAATCTTCGCAATTTAGGATCGTCATTGTAATTAACTAACTTTGTACGATCGCTGAGATAAAAGAGATTTTATTCATGTATCTATGACTTATTACTTCACATATTACATACCTTAGTGTTTAGTTACATATGACAATACTTTCTATAAAGGCTGAATTGTGGCAGGTTTGAAAATTTCTTTGTTTCTGGTATTTATATAATTCTACTATTGCTATAAATCGGAGATTTGTTTGATAAAGTAGTCAGTAACATGTCAGATCATTCTAGCAAGTTTAGGGAGATATAAATAAGCAAGTCCAGAGAGGCTTTATTTCTTAGGATACTTCATATCTCACACAACATCTTCCCATGAATTTTAACACTTTATACTAACTTATGCTAAAGGTATGATTGTTTACAGTAAATACATATAAAAGTGAAATTTCCACTCACTATGGATTTTATATTTAGAAAACACAGTAATGGCTACTATTAGTATACATGTGGCATAAATTATTTTGCTGTTGACTCAATTCCCAAAATCCTCAAAAATAATTGTGTCATGATTTAATTATTTATATGTTTTAATAGTGACTCAATTAATTGTGTCAAATAATTGCATCAATTGCATCAAGGATCTATGAATTTTAGCAACATATATACTGTAACTATTAGTCTCGAATGCCTTATTAATTCTGTTCACACATTCACCAGTCTTCCAAGAGATGCTGTTATTCAAACAATTACAATCCCTAGTGGAGTGAAAGATAATGATCTTGAAACTGAAATTCAGAACCAGTTACCACCTCAATTTAAAAATGTCTCTTATTATTCATGCATTCCACCCCAGTGGTATAAAATATAGAGTTATGCAACCGCAGACTTTGATTTCCGATTATTTCAATAAGGGTCCTCCTACAGGTGTTATCCACATTCTTGTAGAATCCTAAGCAAAATGTATTTTTGTATCTGCCTTATGTGTCTTGACACTAGCTCTGCTATTACAGAAAATGTATTTCGTTTCGTAATTGCATGGATTTTATCCTATAATAAAACAATGACGTGTTAGGCGTAATTTCAGTAGTTTTATCGTGTACATTATCCCCTGATCAATTCGTGTAACTTTTATTGCATGTATATAAACCAACAATCACCCAAAAACAGATGCAATATAAAATTTTTATTTTCAAGCATTGCATTGCCTAGCTTTTCATAGCGGGATACATAAACAAGATTTTACAAATTTCCATGTATAAAACGCTATTATGTCTTTAGCCGCTTCTCCACCTTCCTTCTACATACATAAATTTATAGTTATTTATCTAATCTATTTTTTATTTACCTAACCAGCTGATTTTTACATCGAATACATCATCGAACTATGATTCGTCGGGTATTGGATCCTCTGCCTTTAAACCTCATCATGTATGTTTCAAGTTGATAGTTCCTCGCCTTTTATCACACGCTTTTTCTGGTATTGTGGTTTGACTTTTTTTTGGTTGGGAAAGTGTGATTTGATTATTCAGATCTCATGCATCATTGAAATCTTGTCGAGGAATCATGAAAACAACGACCCACGAGCATCTTTTTCCACCCCATCCCTAAGATTGTTATAAAATTCGAGAAATCCCACTGATGGTGAAAAAATAAACTATATACGAAATATACTACACTATAGCAGATTCCTTTAGTAACTACAAAGTTCCTATAAAGCAATAAACGTGAGGAGAATAATATAACCTGCCTAGGTTGAAGTGGAACAATTATTTTAAGTTGAGGAAAACAAAGTTTACCTCCCTCGAAATCATTCAATGCAACTAAACAACAGAAACTATTTGCTTTGTTATTCTCATTCCAGTGATAGTCGCTAATCGTATTGTAATTGATTGCAATCACAGGGAAAATTCCAAAAAGTCGAAATGCAAATGATCCCTACTTTAAATTGAATAGCTTCTCATATAGATTCCCATAATATTTTTTTAAAAATCGGTTAATAGAATTAAATAAAGGGTAGAGATCGTAAAGCAATCTATCAACACACTTTTGATGATCGGAATTGTGACTACTTGCAGTATTAGAACTAGTATAAGGAAATAGATTGTTCAAGGTAAATGCATCGAAATGTTCAATAAAGTTTTTCCAGAAACTTTCGCTTCTATGTGATGGGTGATCTAATGTATGAAAATAGTAATGATTCACTGTGTCCATTGCTTTTTCCACAGCATCGAAATTATCTAATAATTCTAGGTGAAGCAAGGTTTGACTATTAACATCGATGACACATTCCAGATTTATTAAGCAATGGAACCCAGTTATTTCTGTAGGAGATCGCCATTTATATACTGATGTAATTATTCAGATCTTTTCTTTTTCTGTAATCCGTGGTGAACCTGGATTAAAAATATTTGTTGTGATATTTGTAGCCGAAAATTCATTTTTACTTTGAAAATCCAATGTATGTTGTAATCTTTGCCATCCTAACCGGAGATGTTGTCTCACTTCCCTTCTTTTGATTTTCCCTTTAAACCCTGGTTAAACTCCGAATGAAATCCATAAGTTTTTATCTAATTTTAACAAGGTGCTATCGATAATATCTTTATTCACCAATACGGAAAATTCAGAAGGAATTTCAAATGAATTATATATATTATTTTTAGCAGCATTTGCTTCTCTAATAAGGGTCTCGGTTATTAAAATTCTTGTGGAAATTTTATACCGGAACTTATTTTTTGAAGTCGATACACGATCTGATGGGAGAATAGGTACACTTTTCCATTCATTTTCAAATAATTTATTTTATTGTACGTGTATAGTCCTTGGGTAGTACTCTGAGTTCGATGCTAGGAATATTACCAAAAGATATTAAAATACAAGTCTTCAACTCCACCTTGTGCATGAAATATATAGATAAATATTTTATCATGGAATAAAGCTATTTTATGGCTAGTCATATATTTTTGCGTACTAAGTGAATCGCCCTTGTCTAAGTACTGAGTCACCTAATGGTGATTATGTGCCTATTGTCGCATAATATACAAAGTATACTCATATAAATAACTTAAGCAACCAATCTGTTACACAAAAGCAACCCAGCACACGTAATATATAAAGAGAATTGCCAAAGACTGTCATAAAGTAGCTAGAAGTATTACATATCCGGTTTGGATCAAAAACGATATTGTTTATTAGTGTCAATATAGGTATGTTAGGTTTTACTTAAACATTAAATATTGTTCTTTTTCAAGTTTGCATTTCTTATTATAGTGAGCCTGGCGTGATAGTTTCTTTTTCTGGGTAATACCTCCTCCAACGTGTCAGCTTCTTTTCGCTTATCAATAGAAGACCAAGCTTATGATGATTTAAGCAGAGAAAAATAAAATTTTTGATGTATTAACTAGTATATGGATAAAAAAGAGAAAAGCAACACTACTCGATAAGCTGTTAGAAATAAAATTCCTAGAGCTAATGTCTTACTCAAGACGAATAATGTATGCTTTCGTGAAAAAAAGGACATGGGAATGTAATCGGTAAGGGTATATACAGTATATGACGATTATCTAATCACTAGCCTCCTATGATCCATCCAATTAGAATAATTAAAAAACTGGAAGATTATTAACCAATCGGGAATATCATAGAAGTTTGTAAAACATACATAGTCAAGAATGATAGAAAGATTATTGGTTTATTGACAATGTGTTGTTCTATATTTAGGTGTGAAATCTAATTTGGGATGTATAACTCGATACTCAATTATGTACCCATGCATCACACTCAGAAAAATCAACGTATAAATTTTTATCCCAATACAAGGCACATCACATGATATAATATATAATCTCCCCAACTCGAATCCTTTATTAGCAAAGCCGGTATGACCGATACAATAAAAAATATATAATAATTTATACAATATCTCTATACTTATCTAATAATTAATATGGTAGAGATGAAACAATAGGACTTGGGTGTATATTTTGGGGTGAATGAATATTAGCTTGTTCTAACGCCTGTATTAGTAAGCTCTTATTAATGATCATGATGTTTCTTAATATCAATAGCAAGCGAATGAGAGCTTTAGTATTCGATATATGTGGTGATAATGGAATTTCAGCATTATCAAGATGAAAATATTATCTCGCGGTTCCAAAAAAACTTTCTTTTGTCTACGCCCCAAATTTTTTATTAGGCCCAAATCATCGTTAAGAATTATATTTGCTTCGGGATTTTGCCACGTAAGTTCTGACGGATTTATGTGTTTGAGAGATTGCCTAAGCGATCCATAAAGATTTGTATTAATTTCTGATCCGGGGTGCTTAATATACAAGTTATTAACTTTCAAATAAAAAATGCCTCACTTTAATAAAATATCTGAGACATACCTCGAGCTTGTATTTTAACATATTAATATTTGCTACAATCTTCTCATAGCTATAATCAGGAGATAACTCCCTCTCTATATTTAATGCTTTAAACGCTTTCAGACCTTTAATGCTGATATAACCACTTGAAATCTATAACAAGTGTAATAATAAATTAATACCGGTACAAGCCAACTTCACATTATATCCATTTATATATTACGCTCGCATATGTGCGTTTTCAGAATTTAAAAATATCACCGTTTTGGCTGATAGTCACGCACAGTTAAGGAGGAGCAAACTTTCGACATTCAGAGGATATCGCTCTTCCGAGCTGGCATTCCCCAACCTACAGCTATGACATACCAAGACTAATACATTCACCATAAAGTCATCATCAAATACTAAAGGCTTGGGTAATAAATTATAATTTATACTAACTTGGATTGACACTTTCAAAATTTTGGTTTTTCATTCAATTTCTTCTATTTTCAAAAGGGGTGAGTTTACTGCATGATCTGCAATCTCTCTTATATACTCAAGAGAAGATAAAATATTGTTTTCAATCGTCAGGTAAACTGCGGACATACCACAAAGACTGTTTAATGGCTCGTCTAATAAAAGTGCTTCAATCTTAGATACTAAATGTGTCATGTTAATAGGTGTTTGGTTAAGCAGAAAAAAGTATTGTTACTATATAAGATAATGAAATCGCAAGTAAAAATGAAAAAAACACAACATAAGTATACTATCCTTTTAAAACGTTTCCTTCGCTCATTTCTGTCTTTATTTAGGTATGGGAAGAGTAGATTTAGGGAATGTGGAAGTGGAGCAATGCATGGTGAAAAAAAGCTTTTCACAAAGAAAACGTGAATGCCACGAGTTAGCAATCAGATTTGGAATTTATAGCAACAATCAGCAGGTTACACGAATAATTATACATGATCTTCAATTTATTCTGTAACATAACGTGATTTTCATGACTCAAAGAGTCTGGGCTCTGCCTATTAACTCGGAATTTTTGCCACTGATATGATATATTGCACTGGTAAAAGTGATTATCGAATTATTATTTTTTCGAAAATGGTACTCAAAGAAGATCTTGACTCTATTCGAAAAGGCTAGGATCAAAAAATTTATAAAGTAATGAATAGATTCTCCGCTCCACATGTACATGGCGTAATCGTAGTATTTTTATTTATACCAGGCCCTTAGGGGGCTACTTTGAGTAATAAAGACTTTTTGATTTACGTTAATATACATTCGCACTGACAAAATTTGGTAAGGGTTATATGTTTATAAT